CTGAAAAAGTCTCATGTTCCTTAAGTACATCTACCCTGTTGAACTTATTATGGGAAATAAATATTTAAATAAAAACAAGCTGCTGATTATTTCACATTTTACTTGTGAGCAACGGCACATTTAAATCTTACAAATATAGTTATTTGGCTTATATCGTGATAGATATCGTTATCGCCTGAAATGAAAAAAACATATCGTGATATGAAAAAATCTCATATCGCCCAGCTCTAGCTGTCAGCGTTAATAAGTTATGGTAAGTTATGGTAAAGCCATAACTGCATTAACGCGGAAAATCTCCGTTAACGAGTAACCGCGGATCGCCCTGGATGGCTGGATGGCGTCAACACGTTAACGAGCTAAAGGCGCTAACGTGTTGATGCTGTGCAGCTCCACACACAAGGTGATCCGCGGTAACTCGTTAACTCGAAGATTTGTCGCGTTAATGCCATTTAAATAAGGTTAACACTGACAGCTCTATAAAATATGTAAAATCAAAGATTTATTCAAATAATTAATCATTAAGAAAAATATGCTTCAGCTAAACTAAATATATACAAATCAAACATATTTAATATGATCAGATTTAATTGCAATAATTTTTTTTAAATTTTTTTACAGATTTACATGTATTCAAATTACTTAAACTCAACATTTTAGACACACATATTTGTCATTGTCAGTAAACAAACTCAGGATCCTGTGGGGGATGGGGGCTGCATGGATGTAAAGGTTCACCGATGGACTCTGAAGTTAATGGGGAGCCAGTGCAACTAAATTAGCAACGATGTGACATGCGAGTACTTGGAAAACTCAGCCAGAAGGCTCGCAGCGGTGTTTTGAACAACCTGCTGATGTTCAAAGGAAGCTTTGTTAAGACAAGCGAACAATGAATTACAATAATCCAGACGTGATGAAATAAAGGTGTGACTAACAATCTCCAATTCAGAGCGTGACACAGTGGAACTCCACTTGGCAACATTTCCTAAGTGATAAAACCGAGAGCAAACCAGAGAATTCACTGAATAAACGGGCTGTTGCTATAAATGTAACCTCCTCCGGAACATTAATTTACAGAGACAGACAACACATTGCACAGAGGTCACATCAATTTATTTTGCCTCTTTATTTTATGTGTATTTAAAAAGAAATCAAAGAAATTGTAGCTATGATGGCTGCAATGCTACATTAAAAAAATGTCTACCTGTGACTATAAATCACATATTTAACTTTTGGAAAGTAAGAAATTCAATGTGAAACAACAGCTAGATGGTCCTTTATAATGTGGAAACCTTATATACACTGTGAATAACGAGGATTTTCTTGTGATCTGATTGTCTTCTGACTAAACTAATAGGAAATGAAGAGCAGCACGCTTTTACTTTCCCCAGAAAAACAGTGCTTTCATTGTGTCTTTCCATCAACACCCTTCTTATTCATTACCTTTTTTTTTCCAGTGGAGATTTATTCCTACAGAGAGTACCATCAGTCTTTCGGAGCCCCTCTCTTTGGAAATGGCTTGTCTTATTGCGAACTGATGGACATTTAGATCTTTAAAGATGCTCTGGAGTCTTTTCCAGCTTTCGTGATTTGCGATTGAGGCATGGCTCACAACAACCAATCTTTCATGAGAAGAACACACTTTATGAGTGCAGACTTCGGATGCCTTTAATTATCAACCCATCAGCCCACACTTCCAATCTCATCACAACACCTGGCTCCAAGTGTTGTTTTGTTAGCAAAGGCGGTTTGCTTACCTTTTCAAGCCTAGACTGGGAATGACTGTCTGGGCTCGCCTGGGAATTGTGTGTAGTTAGTTTAGTTCGCTTTTTTTCCTTGTTTCTTTGGTCAATTGTGATTTATGATGATCAGAGCGCATTTTACAATTAGCAAGTATAAATCCACACGGTTCACAAAACATTTTCTCAAAAGTGTTTAGATAAGAAGATAAAAGATATGTTAGGTGAGTTTAATTGTGAAATATATTCTAGACATTTAACGCCTATTTGTTTTGTGTTCCTTTGTCTTCCTTCTTTTGAGGTGATGTGATGAGTCACAGCTCCTAACTTGTAAATTGAGGAGCTAATTAAATCCTTGAATGTAGCTATTTGTGTAAAAATATGAAATCACGTGCATACTTCAGGTACTTAGCGCTGGGCTGACAGTATTTCACTTCAGTTGAGTAAAATCCAAACACATTTCCACACACAACCATACATACTCACTACTTTGTGTTGTAAGTGTCTTAACTATTATAAGGTTAAAACCAGCTCCAAGCTAAAGTAGCTCATTTTAACTGCACCATTTTATGACTGTGCAGTCATAATTTGAATGCATCGCTTCAACTCGCTGGATGGACAGGGACCAAGGCCTCAGTCACCACCAGCTCCTCACTTTACAGCAAAGAAGCTTCTAGCTACACCTAGGGGGGAACCACGCAGCTCAGCTATCGCTGGCATTGAGTAAGCAATCTGTCTGCTTCAGCTGAGTAATTACAGATTTGCAGCACCTTTTCCTGCTGATGATGCTGTCATGGGCAATGGCTGTTGCTGTGTCCTGCAGGCTGGTATGATTGTTGGAGAATGACTTTGTTTCAGTCTCTGTGCCATAATTTATAAGGTGCTAGTGGGAAGAAGTTTACAAATTATCTCCTGAATTTAAAAGTTGAAATATCGACGAGTGAGAGATGGTTGCTTTATGTTGCGCTAACTTTAATATCGCAGAGGAACAACAATCGTCTGAGGATAAGTGGCGGGATCATTAACCAAAAATAGACATTCAGCTCTGGTAGAATGCATTTTTCAATAATGATGTCAACTAATATAGAGGCAGTGTTTATTCCTGCAAATGCTAAGCCTTACAGCTACAGTGTGATGAATTACATTAAATTGAGTAATATCTTAAAATACCTCAAGGTTGGCTGAATTGTGTATACTGAACTCCACTTAGTTAGTTGTGATTAAAAAAAGATACAAGCTCAAAAAATGCCTAAAAAAGACCAACATGGCAGCATAATGAGAAATTTGAAAATTCACTTTAACACTCATCCTGGGATCTGGACAAACCCTGGAGGTGTATTAAGTCATATCTCACAGGAGTTTTCTTCCATCGCTCCCATTTTTTAGGTCTGCCTAATGATGTTATCATTGTTGTGACATCAGATTCAGCGGACTCTGGATCTGGTCTTTGACCTTTACAGATGATGCGGTTCTCTTGGCCTCCAGCTTTCACTGGGGTGGTTTGCACCTGAATGTGAAGCAGCTGGGATGAGAAGGAGCACCTTCAAATCTGAGGCCGTGGTTCTCAGCCAGAAGAGTGCCCACTCTGTGTCAGGGATGGGGTTACTTCTCCAAGTGGAGGAGTTCAAGTATGTTGCAGTCTTGTGAGGGAAGAGTAGAGTGGGAGATTGGCAGATTGGTGTGGATGCTGAAGAGAGAGGTGAGTGTCAGTTTAAAGCTGTCGATCTACGTTGCCACCCTCACCTATGGTCACGAGCTGTGGTGACGGAAGGAATGAGATCACTGATACAAGTGGCGGAAATGAATTTCCTCTGAATGCTGTCTAGGCTCTCCCTTTAGAGATTGAGAGTGGAGCCGCTACTCTTCTACATCGAAAGGATCCAGCAGAGGTGGCGAAGGCATCTGATCAGGATGCCTTTGAGATGCCACCAAAGAGACGTCACCCTTTCAGAAATGACAACTTTGGGCTGCCTTTATTGTTTTTTTTATTTCTATTATTTTATATTTATTCCGATTGCTTTTCTCATATAAAGCCAACAAAAGTGATGTTTACTTAAAACTACTGAGAATAAAAGGATGATAAATAAGTATTTAGTAATAATGTGGATTGTACTTCAGATAACATCGGCAAGTGCATGTGTTAAAGACACGTTTTTCATTTTACAAAACTGCAAATTAGTTGTAACTCTGCAGTAATAAGATTAATTCCATTTTTTATCTTTAGATGCCCTTAATTACATAACTAATAACGCTCTGAGAAGAAACAAGTTTTGCCATTATTAGTGTTTTGCTATTATATTTGCTAAGAGCAAATATAATAGCAGTTCCCCAGAGACTTCAGCCGGTAATCCATGTATGTTAAATATGTCGGTCAGATGAGGGTTAGTCTCTGGAACCTCGATGGAAAATGAGCCGCTCCGTGCATATAAAACAAATACACACAGAGAAAATGTAGTCTTTCACTTTTTGCAAATGAAATCATTTGCTATTTCTGCTCACCCTCCTGTGAGCCTGGTGACAAACAACTCCCAAATATGAATGCAAATAACATATTTAAAAGGGCCTAATGGCCATTCCCAATATAATGCATCATTCTGATCAATTGTACTTATTCAAGTCTACACGCCTCTTTTACCCTTCGCCTCTGATTGTATTTTCCAAATGCCAAGAGCAGATGAATCGCCGCCACTGACACACAAGTCATTTAGCAACAATGAGGCCAAATGCTAAAAGCAGCGAAAAAAATCAGCTTCTCCTCCTCCTCCTCTTCCTAAAATCTCTCTAGTTACCTTCCGACCATATTGTGTTGCATTTTCTACATCACTGCCCTGCATGGCGACCATCTAATTACGCAGGACTTCAGAATGGAAAATCAGACCGACGCCGAACACTACTCCATCCCAGCATGAGCCATTGCATTAGGTTGTTAAGACCACAGGCATAGTGCACTGTCATTAATTTAGCTGCCTTTGACAGTATTGAATGCGAGTAACATCTCTAATGAACGATAAGAACTACAATACCTGCTATTAAATCTTAAGGATGTGTCTCATACTAATGATGCTGTCTCCCTGGAGTGACCTCGAGCTGTGAAGTGGATAGTGCATGCACACAGTGGACTTGTTTTGAGGAACAAAAGAGAAAGGGTTTTAATGGCTTTGAGAGTCAGCGGGCTGTCTTTGTGAGTCAAACTTCAAGCAAGTAAGGAGAGAGAAAAAAAGGAAAGGAAGCAAGACCGACTGCGGAGATGTTTCTGGGTCTTACCTGTCCTGGTATGGCATTTTCACAAAGCAGTGTTTCATAGTCGATGGCAAAAACCGGAGCGTTATCATTTATGTCCTGCACTGTGATCAAAGTGATGCCTTTTCCGATTTGGGTTGGGTCATCTGAAAGGGAAAGAGAGAAGAGAGTCTGTCAAACTTTCTTTAAAGCACTTTGATTCTGCCTTAACTTTGCACTGGGCCAAATTATGGAATATTGATCTTTCTCATGTGTTATAATTAATCACAAAGGAGGTGGAGGGAGGGGAAAAAAAGTGCTGCTGTAATGAAATATGCAGTCTGCTTCAAACAGCTGGCGTTCTTGCCCTCTCTGCTGCGGATCAGCCGCAGTGATTAGACTCGGTGCTGGCTTGTTGTTTGCGTGTGCGAATGAGCCATCTCGCACGGAGGGCTTCACGCCTCTGTCCGCCTGATACACACTGATGGCTAAATGGCTGTGTCTGAGTGCAAGATGATGATTTAGCCTGGTGGTGCCACGGTGCCGGCCAGAGATGACGCCGTGACATTCGGGCCGGCTGATTTGATGGTGATAAAAAGGACGTGCGGAGCCTCAGGCCACAGACTTGTTGTCATTGGCGTGGTCTGGCCAGAGTGGATGAGATGTGAGTGACTGCAGCTCGAGTGCACAACATCCCTCAACCACAGAGTCCCTGCACCCTCTTCAGTAACAAAGAACCCATTTACTATAAATACTGTCATAAGGCAGGACAGTAGATTTTGTTGCCAGTCCATGAACTCGAAGATGTTTTCAGCTGAAAACAGCGCCCAAGTGTCACTATGTGTCAGAAGTCAGTGCCTCATGCATGAGGGACTGTTGTGACATTTCATATGGCTATTATTATATGCTGCTTTCTTTTTGTTGCTATATCAGGCAAGCACTCACACTCGGGATTCAACCAAGTGGCGCATCTGTGTGCTGTTAGATGTAAATAAAAACACATCTTTGAAGCAAAGATGGATAAAAAGGCTTTGAGAAAAAGAAAAGAAAAGAAGACCTTTTTCACGCAGTGTTCGATCTGAAGATGTGAAAGCAAAAGAAGTGCTGGGCTGACAGGCTGGTTGTCTTTTTAACTTATACCGATGTGACGCAGCTGTTTGGCGTGCTCAGTGGATAGCGTGCTTATGATTGCTGTCCATTGTGCGGAATGATAGGAATGCAATGTGGGAAAAAGAAGAAGGAACAAAAAAAGGGGTTTATGTCCTTGGAGCCATTGACAGACGAACAAAAAAGGCACACGGCACTTCTTCACATCACATTAACATTGTTCACCCGTGGGCGAGATCACCCGCCCTTAGTCAGCATCTCGTCCCCATGGCTCAGGGAGACATGGAGGTCAGAATGACCCTCCCGTATGTGAATTAACATTCCCCGACAGCTCCGCAACAACCCCAACAACACCACACTGCATTGTCCAAAGCACAGACAGCTTACAGAGTGGATAACAGGCCAGAAAGGATCTAAAGCTTCATGTATATTGCAAGCCAGCTACAGTATTGCAGTATATCTTAGGAAAAATGCATCCTGCTGATATAACCCTTTTGAGGACTTGGATAACTTACTTGCTCACAAGAGAAACTGTGTACATAAAAAAGTGATGCTCTCTGAGGTAATGTTGTCTCCCCTCCAGTAAGGAGCAGAACAGACCTGGTTTTAGGGCTTAAACTCTGATAGTATGCACAACGGGCTTCTCTCTTCACAGTCCACAAAGGACCTGCTAGCTGTGAGTGAAGGTTTTTTTTTTTAACCCTGTAAACTAGAGTAGGTATTTCTTGGTTGATTAACCAGCAGACAAGCTATCTAGCTCAGTCACTCGTGGGTTTTTACTTTTGGACACACAATAGAAGACATCCCTAACAGAATCCAGCGCCAGCATGTGGTTCACAATGTTGATATTAGAGCTGATGAAGTACTATTTATAGGATGAATAAAGCAATAGTGGACTACATAGTAGTTTTGAAAGTTTTTCCCACAAGGAAACTTACGGCTCTCGATGGCAAAGATGGTGAGGTTGTGGACCGAGTTTGCTTCTCGGTCCAGAAGTTTGGCTGTGCTGATGACCCCACTTAGGGCATCCACATTAAAGAAGCGCTCCAAGTCTGTGTTCCTGTCAATGGAGTACCTGGGCACACAACAGTACACAAAGCGCACATACACACTTTTAGAAATTGCTTTTGGATAGTGGTATTGATTTGACATTTTAGAGTTTCTTCTACTTGTAAGGAAAGATTATGATCATGTTTTTTCCCCATCAGCAGTAAGAGCTGCATTCGGTTTCATATATAAATACATACATTATCTTCACACTTTATAGAAGACATATGATGTTGTCCAAGCTGTCTCTAAATATTACAACTAATGAGTACAGTCCATAGATTGGATTAGATTCAGAAACGTGGAAGCAATTTGGAACTTTATATCACGAGCAAAACAAAAGCACATTAAATATTGATAAGCTTGAAGACTGCCTACTTGTCCCTCAGCACTCAGCGCTGATCAAACCTTTTCAATACAATGCAACTCATATTTCTAGAGAAAATTGCATCTTCAATTAGCGTACATCCAAAGGGTATTATTGCAATGTAATTTGACTCTTGTGGCTGCATTAGTTCCACAATAATTTTAATTTCAACAGTTGTAGTGAAATATATTGCAGATGCTGATAGCAGTCACAGGAGTAAAAAGAGGCAATTTACAGCTACAATGGTGCAGTAATTTGATTTTCTGATTAAGATTGCTAACAATCTGAACAGACAAAGCTTGAATCCCATACAATATTCATTCAATTAATGCAAAACAGGAAGGGGGGGGGG